CCAAGTCTGGTGAATACAGTGGCTGAGACATGATGACAGTATTGTTTTTGGCCAAAAACAATACTGTCATCATGCCTCAGCCACACCACACACACATTCGCTGACACACGTGTAATACCCAAAACATCCGTTAAAATTGATTGGCATGAGCCAAACGATATGTTAAGATCATCAGCTATTTCTCTAATCGTGATTCGACGATTTTTCAACACAATTTCTTTCACTTCCTGAACATTTTCGTCGGTTTTTGACGTGCTGGGGTGTCCAGAGCGAGGTTCATCGTTAACATTTTCTCGGCCCTCTTGGAATAACTTATACCATTTATAAACATTTTTTTGCTCAAAGTTGGCTCACCGTCAACATTTCAAGAGTTTTTGAACACTTAATACCATTTTTTACACAAAAATTAATACAAACTCTCTGCTCCATTATTTTCAACAGCAAAACATCGCCGAGCACGCAAACACGAGTCTAACCTTTATGCCTCTCACATAAAAACAACACATGCTATATAGTCAAAACTGTGAACATATGATCGTGACGAGTGTACCAACACAACAACAAAAAATTTTGAAATTAGAGTACAGAGAGAAAATTCAAAAAGTCACCTTACTTTTTGATCACACCTCGTACATGTTTTGGTTACATCTGCAGAAATGTATACTGTAGTCTGTAACAATTATATCACTAAAATTATAAGATTGTACTTTCCTAAAAAATTACATCACTACGATGTAACCTAATTTCATAAATTATATGTCACTTTTTCATAATGATTACATATTTATTGTTAAAAAAATTGAGAGAAGTGAGAATTAATTTGTTATATAAACAAATCAAGGAACAGTAAATTTAATGATAAATCGAAGGAAACAATCGATTAGTAAGTACTATTGCAAATTATTTCTGATTATTCAATAAAGAAATAATCAAAATAATTATTAGACTGCGGAACTTTAAAAATACTTAACTGAATATTAACTATCGGACAGTTTTAGCAGTCAATCGTTGTTCGTTAAAGAGTTATTAAAAGGTGAATCAAAAAGATTGAGATTGCCATCTGTAAATTTACAAAATTGCAAAATATGCATTTTATGCAAAACATTCAATTAAGTATTTTGCATAAACTTCCGCAGTCTAATAATTATAGTATCGCTAGCAAATATAGTCTATTCAAAATATAGATTGTATTCTATATAGTTAAGCAAACTATAATTATTTTATTTCTTTATTAACTGCATAAAAACAATTAACTGATTGCATAATAGAAGCACTATTATGCAATCAGTTAATTGTTTTTATGCGCTGTTATAGATATACGATTATCGTATCGATTTTTCCTTTATAGGTATAAGAATATTAAGGAAAAGTATTTAACATGGGTAGAGTGTGCAAAGACCTTAATTGTGTGTCAAAAAGACATAAACAACGATTAATTAAAGCCGAAATGAATAAAATAAAACAAATGAATACAATTAAAATGCCATTGAAATTATTTGCTTGTTCAAAATCATCTAAATATTGGCATGGTGTCTCAGTTCCTAATAGATTACATGCACAATGTATGCATGCCATAAAACCTTTGCTTTGCTAGTGGATTTCTGGCAAGCAGGATGTACGTATGACTAAACATAATATCGATGAAGCATCTAATCATTTAATTGAATTGAAGAAGTCGATACTAGATGAGTTTGCCAGGAAACCAAGACCACTAATTGAGCTTGATCGATATAAAGCAACGGAATTGAGACAAATTTTATTGTATACAGGACCTGTAATTTTTTGGAAACGTTTGCCCGATGATAAATATTACGATTTCCTCAGTCTCAGTATTGGAATACGAATTTTATGCAGTGAAGAATTTCATATAACACTAAATGATTATGCTCGAAATTTATTGATTTATTATGTAGAAAACTATGGAAAATTATATGAAGCAGAACATGTTACATGGAATATTCACAATTTAATTCATCTTTGTGATATCGTTTTAAGATTAGGTCCACATTAGACAAGTATAGTGCTTTCAAGTATGAAAACTACTTACAGAAAATTAAGAAGAAAATCAAGACATCAGGTAAAGAATTACAGCAACTTGTCAATAGATTAACCGAAGAAACTGAACTACAAAAGTTACTGTCAATAAGAAAGCATACAGAAATAAAATATCCAATAATTACATTTACTAGAGATCAAGAAATAGATAAACAAATTATAAAATCTTTAGAGTACAAAGGATTTTTGTTAAACAAAAAAAAAGAAAAATAGTTATGTTTATATAGACGATGGGAGCATTTTTCAGATTATCAATACGTACCTTAAAAATAATATTGTATATTTATGTGGTAAGAAATACATAGGTGCTAGGGCCATGTTTGTTAAACCTTGTGAATCGACTGCACTTAATATTTGTGTACCATACTTTCGAAACAATGTAATATCCAGGATAATTATATTACCTGCATCGCGGATACAACAAAAATGTGTTAAATTAAAACTAAATATTAATGAAAGTGCAATTTTTCCACTTCTTCATAAAGATTAAATTAATACATCATATTTCAAACATTAAAGAAATAATTATTTTAAATAAAATATGTGAACAATAAAATACTATAAAATAATTAATATTTTACATTAGAACAACACAATTAAAATATTATTATTGAAGTTTGAATTAAATTCTGTACGTAATTAAATATATACGTATTTCACAAAGTTAGCAGCAATTATTTATTTGTTAATATTAACATTAAATAATAAACTTAATTCACAATGCCAATCACTTTGACTAGCTTTAACTTTAAAGTTAAGGTGTCGTCCCATGGAGTCGGAATTGAAAAACAGAATCAGTAAGGTGAAATGGTAGGGGCAACCAATCAGCATCGTTCCGTTCCAATTTTAAGCAGCCTGGCTGCCCGCATAGCCTAGTACATATTTTTCGGAATCGGAATGACGGATTGAATGGAATTCTAATCGTATAATGAAAACATTATACAAGGTGTCTCAGTAACTCTGTTACAAGGTAATATCTCCGTTACTGTTAATGATACGCGAAAATGCCTAAGGAAGAAATTGTTTGGTTTTTCGGAGGGGCACACATTACTGTGGGAATTATTTCTTTCTCAAGGTCATATTTTGAGAGCCTTCAAGGTCATCGATATTTTTTTAGTCCGGATCTATAATAAATGTTTTAAGCCTTAAGTTGTAAGAAATTGACCAATTACAGTCGAACGTGAGGAGAATAATTGACTGATTCGTCCATTTTTTATGGCTTAAAAATCTATTGTAGATCCGGGGTTATCCTTGTTGTCCATTGAATGTTAAACAAGGATAAATGATGCATTATGCACATTAGGGGAAAGTGGGGGAACTGTGCGCAGCGGGTAATTGTGCGCATCCTGGTTTGGTATTTTTCCAATATATGAAGACATCACCATGGCAAAATTTTTACGCAGGAAGTCGTCCTCTTAAGCTATAACTACAAAAGATACGACATACATACATCACTAGCCAGAGAAATACAAAAAAGTGAAATTACATCTTTTCTTGTTATTTTAGCATTCAGAAAATAAGGTGGTAAGTCCATATTTTTAATTTGTTTGTTTAAAATTGTATATATTATTAAAGTACGTTATTATGTGCATCTTTTGAGCTGTTATTTATTAAGTTTGGTTAGGAATTGTTGAAGTAATCGTATTTCGTACCGAGTCAGGTCGCGGCGGGCAACTGTGCGCAAGCATTTTAAAATACGCACAATTACCCATCTTCCATATATTGTATGACTAGCACTAGTTTTTTCATTTCTTTTTGGCATTACTATTTTATTTTGCCATTTCATTTTGCCAAAGTCTATGTGCATTATTAT